AAATGCATATTTTTTTACTTTTATTTTTTTTAATTTTTATTTTATTGATTATGCCATTACAGTTGTTCTATTCCCCCCTTTCATTCCCCTCCACCCTGCACCCCCCACTCCCACCATTCCCCTCTTTAGTTTATGACCATGTGTCTCAAGTTCTTTAGATTCTATATTTCCCATACTATTCTTACCCTCCCCCTATCTATTTTCTACCTACCGTCTATGCTTATTTTCTGTACCTTCTCCCCCCTTCTCCTCCTCCCACTCCTCTGTTGCTAACCCTCCATGACATCTCCATTTCTATGTTTCCACTCCTGATCTAGCTGTCCTCTTAGTTTGCTTTTGTTTTAGATGTGGTTGTTAATAACTGTGAGTTTGCTGTCCTTTCACTGTTCATCTTTTTTATCTTCTTTTTCTTAGGTAAGTCCCTTTAACATTTCATATAATAAGGGCTTGGTGATGATGAACTTCTTGAATTTGATCTTATCTGAGAAGCACTTTATCTGTCCTTTTATTCTAAATGAAAGTTTTGCTGGATAGAGTAATCTTGGTTGTAGGTCTTTGGATTTTATGACTTGGAATATCTTTCCAGCCCCTTCTTGCCTGTAAAGTCTCTTTTGAGAAATCAGTTGACAGTCTGATGGGAGCTCCTTTGTAGGTGACTGTCCCTTTATCTCTTGCTGCTTCTAGGATTCTCTCCTTCATTTTAATCTTGGCTAATGTAATGATGATGTGCCTTGGTGTGTTCCTTCTTGGGTCCAACTTCTTTGGGACTCTCTGAGCTTCCTGGATTTCCTGGAAGTCTATTTCCTTTGCCAGATTGGGGAAATTCTCCTTTATTATTTGTTCAAATAAGCTTTCCACTCATGGCTGTTCCTCTTACCCTTCTGGTACCCCTATAATTTGGATGTTGGAGTGTTTAAAGATGTCCTGGAGGTTCCTAAGCCTCTCCTCATTTTTTTGAATTCTTGTTTCTTCATATTTTCCTGTTTGGTCATTTTTTCCTTCCTTCTGGTCCACTCCCTTGATTTGAGTCCCAGTTTCCTTTCCATCACTATTGGTTTCCTGTGCATTTTGCTTCATTTCAATTAGTTTAGCCTTCATATGTTTCTCTAATTTGTGACTAAAATCCACCAGTTCTGTGAGCATCCTGATCACCAGTGTTTTGAACTGTGCATCTGAAAGTTTGGCTATTTCTTTGTCGCTTAGAGTTATGGGCTCTGGGGCTTTGAGATCTTCCTGAGCCATTTTTGGTCTGTTCGTGCCTGTTAAGTGTGAGAGCAGAGCCTTAGGAGCGGGGCTGGGCCACCAGGGCGGGGTGGCTGGGTTGTGAAGCTGTATGTGGGGGTGAGGTCAGAGCGGGGAAATGGCGGCCTCCTCTGTCGCCTCCGCCACTGGGGCCTGCTTGGTCCTGTCTCACCACCCACTCCCTCACCCGTCTATCTGCACAGGAATGTGCCACCACAGTCAACCTGCCCCCCTGCGCCCTTGCTGGGTCCACCCGTCGCTCACTGGGTTGCTCACTGGGTCCACCCGTTGCAACCCCACGCCTGGGATCCGCGCACCTGAGTCCGTCTGACTGAGTTTTTCTGTGTGACCCTGCTCCACCAGCTGCTGGCTTTGCCCCTCTTACATGTCAGGCTGAAGAATTCGTTGTTATCAGACATCCTAAAAGTTCAATTTTCTGTGTTCCAGCTGTGTTTTCTGTTGCTAATATTTTATTGTCTCTAAACTTGGTTGTGTGAGAAAGCATGGTGTCTCCACCTATGCTTCCATCTTGGCGGAAGTAGTCTAAAATGCATATTTTAATTCAAAGAGTAACCACCACAAACATAGAAAGTAGTAAAACTTCACATTTTATACAAAAAATAGCTGTTTAACTCAAAGATCTTGTCAATGAGAAAGAGAACATTGAAAGCTGCAGGCAACATATAGAAGGAAATAATACAATATAAAACAGAGCTACATCAATGATTGCATTCAATGTTATTCTCTTAATCCACCACTTAAAAGGCAGAGACTTTTGGACTAGAGAAAAAGCAATTTCAATTATTGCTATCTATAAGAGACATATTTTGGATTCAAAAACACAAATATGGGAAAAGTAAAAGGATAGAATTCTGGTCAAAATGATAGAGTAGGTAAATGCTATGATTGTCTTCTCCCATAACCACATGAAAACTGTAACTAAATTATAGAATAACCACCCTTTAGAACCACATGAAGATGAGATAAACAGATCTTCTATAACTAAGGTTATAAAGAAGAAGCCACCTCAAAACTGGTACGAGGGTCTGAGACAAAATTAGCTAGTACCACACGCTCTGTAGAGGGTAAGAAATAGTAGGAATGTACGACTGCATAGGTATCACCTGAGAAATGAGAAGTCCCAGCCCCACATTTAGTTCCTCATCTAGGAGTACAGTGCTGGAAAGAGGGGTCCCCACAATATCTGGCTGTGAAAACCAGCATGGACTCAGTCCAGGTGAGATGGAGGGCTGCTACAAAACTTAGCATCTTCTTAAAAGACCCTAGCAGAGTCACTCCCTCACAAACACTTGTCCTAAGCTTCAGAGAAGAGATAGAAGTTTGCACAGCCCTAGAGACATGCAGGGAGAAACTGAATTGTCTGGCTTCAAGTGGAGGGCTGGAAGGGCAACTCTCCTAGGGACTAAAGTGCTGTGAAGCTCCATTGTTCTCTTGTGGATCCCTGTCCACACACAGCCAGCAGTACAGGCCAGGGCCAAATCTGAGTCTCCATTAACCATGTTAACACCATCTTGCCCCAACCTAGTGATTCTCTGAGAGACCCCACTGCACTCTATTCAAGCCTCTGACCGAATCTCAGACGTAAGTCACCCAAGCAGCTGGTCAACCAACCCATACTCCAATCTTTCCTAAAAATCTCTAAAATGTCCACCAACCCTAAACAACAATCGAGGCTCAAGTACAAGAAAAGGATGCACTCAGTTCACATGAAGAGTACACATTGTGTACCCAGCTTGGTGATAGGAGAGGCTGTGCCACTGGACCCTATAAGACACCCACTACATGAGGCCATGCTGCCAAGACTGGGAGTCATATCAACTCTACCTACACAGAAACAAACACAGGGAAGCTGCCAAAATGTGGAGACAAAGACACATGGCTCAAATGAAAGAACAAATCAAAACTCTAGTGAAAGAGCTAAGTGAAATGGAGAAAAGCAATCTGTCAGATGCAGTATTCAAAACACTGGTTATAAGGATGCTCAAGGAACTTAGTGAGTACTCAAGAGCATGAAAAAGATCCAGCCAGGAACAAAGAATACACTAATCTAAACAAAGAACAATTTATAGGGAAACAACCCTATATTAAGTGAAGCCAAGAATCAAATCAATGATTGAAAACATATGGAGGCAAAAAACAACCAATCAGAACAACAGGAAGAAAAGGAATCCCCCTGCAAAAAATAAAAATAGTGTAATGAACATTTCAACATTTGCATCATAGAGGTGTGAGAAAGAGAAGAGAAAGAGGAAGAAACTGGCAATCTATTTGAAAAAATAATGAAAATAAACCTCCCTAATTTGGTGAGAGAAATAGACATGCAAGTCCAGGAAGCACAAAGTCCCAAATAAGATTGGTGCAAAGATACCCACCCTAAGATATGTCATAATTAAAATGTCAAAGATTAAAAATAAAGAAAGAATCTTAAAAACAGCAAGAAAAAAGCAGTTAGTTATCTATGGGAGAGTTCCCATAAGTCTGTCAGCTGATTTCTCAAAAGAAACTTTCTTAGCTAGAAAGGACTGACAAGAAATATCCAAAGCCCTAGAAGCAGGGACTTATGGTCAAGATTGCTCTACCCAACAAGGCTATCATTTAGAATCAAAGGGCAGATAAAGAGATTCACAGACAAGAAAAAACTAAGAGTTCATCAGCACCAAACCATTATTATATGAAATGTTAAAGGGACCTTTTTAAGAAAAAGAAGATCAAAACTATGAAAAATAAAGTGACAATAAATACATATTTATCAACAAGTGAATCTAAGAAACAAACTAAGCAAACAAGAAAAACAGAGGCAGAATCATAAATTTAGAGAGTGTTTTGATGGTTGCCAGATGGGATGGGGTTATGGGGAAATAGGTGAAGAGGTGAGAGGATTACAAAGTAAAAATGAGTAGCTACAGAACAGCCATGGGGATGTAAATTACAGTATAAGAAATGGAGTAACCAGAGAAGTTATACACATGACCCATGGACACGAACAGTGATGTGGGGTTTGCCTGAGGGAATGGGGGTGCTGGGTGGAAGAGGGTAAAAGTGGGCAAACTAGGACAACTGTAATAGCATAATAAGAAAATGTAATCTAAAACTAATAAAAATAGAAACTTATAAAAACAAATAAAAAGGGGGAACATTACTGAGTACTAGTGGAGAAATAAAAGAGATTATAAAAATTATAATTAACTTCATGTTTACGAAACTGACAACTCACAATGGACAAATTTCTACAAAGACGTACATTATCAAAAATTGACTCAAGAAATCTTAAAAAGCTTAAGAAAACCTACTAGAATAAAAAAATGTAAACCTTTCCAAAAAGAAAGGCCCACGATGAGTTGGTTTCACTGGTGAATTTATTGAATAAATAAAAAATAAAGAATACAAATCTTTCACAATTGTTTATTCAGAAAACAGAGGAGAAAATTCTCAACTCATTCTATGAAGAGAAAACTAACCCAAAACTCTTGGGACATGGAGAGGTATCTGAAAATGTTATAGACTAAACCACAGATATAGGGGCTTATAGAATCATACAATTGAACACAAAGATTCTTCTCTCCACAGTCAGATTTTTGCACTACAATTGATACATTAATAAAAACAAGATTTTCCTTGTTATTCATGCATTCAATTATTCCTATAACCTCTGAAATAGATTAGGAAAAGTTTACTGCAAGACCATGGGAACTTCAGTGTCGTCACAAACTGCACAGCCACATAGTAGTGCAGGAAACTTAAGTCTTCATTTTCCTCAAGTTCAGATGCTGGGGCTTCTTCCCAAGTCTTACCTGAAGTATCTTCCTCATTGACCCCTGCAACCGATGCTCCAGCTTTGAGATGAGATCTCTCAACACCTGGCTCTGCTGAACCAGCTCACTCTCAGATTGTTCCATGTCATGGAGAATATCTCCTTCCTCCTTCTTCAGCTTTTGCAGCTCCTTCGGCTCCTCAGTGTCCAGGATGCCTTTCAGTTTTTTAAAACAATTCTGGACACTTTGGATCTCCTTTTGTATTTGATTTTTCAGGAATGAGAAAGACAGAGAGGAACTCAGGCTATCAGGTAGAGACTGGGAGCCAGAAAAAATATTTGATTTGGAATTTCTCACAGGGAAGGGAAATGGAAGCAGGGGAGCAATTTTCAAGGGGGCTGATTTTTCCTATTATTTTCTCTTCAACACATTCCAAAGTAGTGGCCTCAAGTCCACACTATTGAAGCCAACCTGAAGCAAAACAGGACACCTGAATGTGGCTCAGCTTTCCCACAGCTGCCCAGGACAGTCATGCCTTCCTGCATTACTCCTGACCCCCACCCCTACCCTCAACCTAACATAGAGTACCAGGGCCAGAGCCATGAACATAAAGACAGCGATGAACACAGAATTTACTAGCTATCCTCAGCAGATAGTCCCTCTGAGAATCACTAACCTACAAATATTTGTTAATTTTGATAGGTTCTATTTCAGCCCCATTTTTTTTATTGGGAAAAGAATAAAGAATGGTTAATCATTAATCAATAACTCTAGACATTGATTGTTACAAAAAAAGGAGAAGGGAGCCCCTTGTGCCTAATACCCACAGTCCTGCCCAGATTCTTGTCTAACTCCCTCAGGAAGAGTTTCCACCAACCTCCCAGGAAGTCCTCTCTTATCCCATGTCAGCTTCCAACTTCTCAGTTTCTTGGTGTTCAGCCCTCAGCCTGTACAGAGCTGCCTGCAGCTTTTCCTGTGAGGGAGCATTTACACCAGAGTGAAGTTATGGGCTTTCTCATCTTCAGAACAGAGGACAAGTAAGGAAAAATCAGGCTGGTCTCTAAAGAGATTAGAGTTTATAGAAACTGTGAAACAAAAATTAGAATCTGTGACTTGAGGGAGCCTGATGTTGTGAATGTACTCTTTAAGACTCATGTAATAGAAGTCCCCATTCCCATGTCAGCAGAAGACTGATTCTCTTTGTCCTAGAAGAGGAAGCCTGATCCAGTAGTAAGAAAAGAACTTAGGTATAAATCACCCAGCTGCCCATTTACCCCTCCCGTCCAAAGGGGCAAAGACAGCTTTGGTTGGGCACCAAACCTCCACTTATTAGCATGAGTTACAAGAATATCTACTTATTTTTTGAGTCTGCTCATCATTTTGTGATTGTGTGGAATGCATGGAAATATTCTTCTGCCCTTGGAAGGTGAGCACAGGAAGAAAAGTGATCATAGGACTCAGGGCTGGATAGCAAAGTAGCTAGAGTGAATGCAAAAAAGAGATTTCCTGTCAAATACTATTTTTTGCCCTGTCTTTACTTCATCCTGGTCTGTTACCTTGTACTTCTGGACAACATCCTCCATGAGGAAAGTGTGGTGACCTTGTGCTTTTGAGATCTCTCACAAAGCCAGCAAATAAACTTCCCATCCTCCTTACAGAAGAGCAGGAGTTTCTCTCCATGGTGCTCACAGAGATCTGTCTTTTGCTCCTCCTCTGGGCTCAACTTGACCTTTTGAAGCATCTCTACTATATTGACCACACACTGATTAGGCTGCAAGTTCCCAGGTTGGTAATGGATATGGTACACAGGGTAACACTCTCTCCTTCTTTGCTGACCATGGACTCCTGGTTGTTTGCAGTGATGCAGGCTTGGCAGAAGGTGTGCCCACAGTCTAGGCTCAGGGGTTCTGTCAAGAGCTCTAGGCAGATGGGGCAGGTCACCTCCTCCTTTATGTTCACCAGGATTCCTGAAGCCATCGCAGCTGCTCCCCTGCTTCTATCTGTCCTGATCTGAGGCTCCTGTGGCTCACAGATTTCTGCCAGAATCAAAAGGTTAAAGGGGACAGAGTAAGAAGCATGAGAATAAGTGATTCTAACTGTGTAGAAATCAAGGGCAGAGCAAGAACACATATTGAAGGACAAAAAATAAAATGTAGAAAGACAAGTAAAGGAGATAAGCAACCTTGTAAAAAGGACAATTTATAACAATTTTTAATACTCTTAGTTCACATGACATGACTATATTTCATTTTTTTCTGTGTGATGGTTGTTATTGTCCTTTACTTTTACAGAACAAATATGTGTGACCCCACATCTCTCCTGCTTCTTCTCTTCCATGTGCAAACACAGCCTAGAAGAAAAAAGCACCAAACCTCTTATGTGTCTGGGCTTTTATACCTGCTCTTCTCTCAGCAGGCGATGCAGTCCCTGGCATAACTAGGACTCATTCTGTTCCTTCTGTTAATCTCTCCTTACATGTTCATTTATCAGAAACACCTCCTCTGACTGCTTATTTACAGTGTAACAATTGCCATCATTTGCTGAATGTTTGAAATGATTTCTCTTATTATTCTAACAAAATATGTGACAATGTGTTTTGTACGCGGCAAGAACAAATCCTTTATCAGACGTGTACATAGAGACACTGAGTGTCTCACAAAGATTATTATCTTCAACATGCAGAGTTGTGATGAACCTTCAGAGGTCGGACCCTACCATACATACTGAGTTAATCAAAGACATAACAGGTAACTTAGAAGGATCTGGCAAGTCTTGTGTTGATAAATGGTAAAATCTAATGGTTGCCTGGAAAATATGCCAAGGACATTGATAGGAGCCCCAAAGTGTGTATGTATGTGGATGGTGGAAAGGGAAATGTCATAAATATACTCATAGAATCACAAAAGTCACATACCTGGAGAAATAAGAACATAGATGAAATGAACATCTGTCCTGGGAAAGAAGTTTCAAATATTAGGAAAGGTCATTCAACTAGTTCTTAATAACTGAATTACATGATAAGAACTAAACTAATACCCACAAACAAAATGATGAGTCTAAACAGAAAGTTTAAACCACTATGACCCTGACATTCACCTGGAAAGCAACAGTAAATTAAATAATCGGCCAACAAGCTAATGTGAAAAACACTACTAGAGAGGTGTGCATGTTGGAAAATTAAGCAATGGGGACAGATAGTCAGTTGTCCAGCAACTGCAACTCGAAAATAAAAAGGTTGAACTGAAAGCTGTAGAAGGAAAAGGAAAATGGCATATGAGTGAGGAAAAAAATATATTAAGAAAAAAATGACCTGTTCATAAAAGATGTACCACCCTGTCTGAATTTAGAAATGACAGTGCAGCTGGTATGCCAAAAACCACTAGCCCTTTGGAATCCCATAAAGCCCCCAATGACCATGATATATGGCACTTCCCCAGTTATGTGACATTTAGGGGCCCTTTTCCAACAGCAAAAGAAATTATCCATCTATTGCCCTCAGAGAAGGAGTTACATGATTAGCTTTGCCCTTGTGTGGTCATGTGTTAGATGGATCCACTGTGGGAAAGGGAAAGATGAGTCGGATGCATGCAGTTGCCCAGGGGAGAGATGTTGATAGATTTTATGAAGGATAATGTAGAAGCAAATGTAGAGCAGGGAAGAGAGTAAGACATAGGATGAGGTAAGAGGAAAAGATGGCAGTTAGATGAGGTACCTGGGAACAAAGAGTCAACATCAGGCTCTTTTTACCTATAGAGGCAATATTGGCTTACTCTTCTAATAAGTTAGGTATTTGGTTTTGTTTTTGTTTTCTGAGAATCTTATGAGGCTACAATAAAGTGGAAGGTGAACTACATAAAGCCATATGACTGATAACAAAAATAGCCCAATGTGGAAAGTGCATTTTGAGGACTTCCTATAGAACTCAACTGCCAGTTAATAAGCTAAGACTTCATTTTTCTTAAGGAGAGGGTGACTTTTACAATCAACACTGTCTGTTTTAGACTCTTGGATGCTGTGCTTATGAGCTTTCACAAAGTAACGAGTACTTTGTAGCTCTGGGCTTACATAAACTATGGTGGTTTCACACCTGTCCACTAAGTCTGGCTTCTTAAAAGGCTGAAATAACAGGAATAATGGACCTTCTATAGCACTGTGAAGACCTTCACTGGGAGCTCACTGGAGACAGCCATTGTTGACATGCTCTGTTCCCTGTCTTGCATCCCTAGCTCAGCTAAGTGGCCTGGAAGTTTATATCTTATCAGGTCACATACAAGGGAATGATGATCTAAATTGGAAACAATGCTTATAGTCAGTCACAGAGTGAATCAGAGTGGTAGCACAGTGATGCTCATTCTCCACTTGGACTCAATATGGCCCTGTGGCCACAGTCTAGGCTCAGGAGTTCTCTCAGGAGCTCCAAGTAAATGGGACTAGGAAGCAATAAAAAAAGAAAGATAAATAAGGTCTCAGTAGATATGCACATCTTGATGGTTGCCAAACTTTGAGGGTAAAAGAAATATTTGCAATATGAAATAGTAAGTTTTCTCTTAGCTCTGTGCTATGAAGGAGAATGTTATAAAGGCAGTATGAAGATGAATTTAGATCTACTAACACTGTCCACTGGTGCCATGTTCATCACATTTGAAGGGAACCTGATAAGGAATGAGGTTAAAAGAGAACCAGAAGTGTATTCCACGTATTGGTCCAAATGGTGAGAACAGCCCAGAGGCCATATGCAGGTAGCCCCTGGCTGCAGGGACTGTGGTCCAGATCAGGCTCTGATGAACTGCGAGATCAGAGTAGGCATTGCATCAGGGGTAGATATTAAATGATCTCTAGCCCTGTTTACAACTGAAGTGTGATCCAAATATGGGGTAGAGACATCCAATTATTTGTCATCCCTTTCAAAATCCAACCAATCCTGAGACACAACAAGTGCTTATAGAGAAGGGAAGTGCAGAACAAGCATTCAGCCTTGGGGCTGCAGAACTTATTTTTATAGTGTGGCTACAAGGACCTAAGGTCAAATCATCTGCTGCTACAGGACACAGAAGAGAAAAGTGTTTAGGAGATTGAGGCCTCATAGATGGAGGTTGACCCTCCACAACCTGAGCAGTGATGCTAGCTAGGGCTTCAGGTCAGGCAAGCAGATAGGTAGTTATGGAAATGTGAGTGGTATCTGCACTGCACAGATATCACAAATGCCTAGACCATCCCTGAGGACCTATGGGTTTGTGCCCTACACCAGGCTCTCTGAACTGGGGACCTGTGCGAGAGTGCTGAACCTACAGAACATCTGCCTTTAAAAATGAACAAGGCTTATGCCCAGGAGAACTCTAAGGGTTTCCTGCACAGTATTTAAAAGACTTAACAGAATTTGCTCCAGGAGAGGGGCAGAAGTAGAAGTTTGAGAAGTACATAGACCACAAAAGAGATCTATCCCCTGCAGGAGGAGTGGAAGCTGATTGGACTGTCACCCGAGGCAGAGATGTGGAGTGGGCGTGACATCGATGATCCAGGCACCACCCAGCCAGCGCAGGGCTGCATCTCCCTCTAACCTGTAGGTGCCGCTGGTTATACCTGCACCATCTCCCTGCTGCAGCCGCGCAACCAGAGTTGACTGGGGAGTGCCCACGCCCCACTCCTCTTATCTCCTCTCCCTTGGCCACACCCCTGTGCCACTGAGACTTGGCTGGAGCTGCCCCCTCCACTGTGGTCCTGTCAGAGCCTTAGGACCGATCCAGCACTCACAGGACGCCCTTTGAGAGCCTGGCTGGGTGCCTGGGGTGACAGGGGTTGCGGTTTTGTGCCCTAGGTTTGTAACAGTGGACCACAGAGTCCTCGGCAGGCTGCTACCCTCCAGGCACTGCACGGAGAGCAGAAGGAAACCCACCCCCAATCTTCCTGGGAACAAGGCCTAGTTGCTTGTTCTGGAATTCCAGCCTGAGGGGCAGTCGTGGGCAGGATTCACTCTCCACACCAGGGGCCAAGAGGCTCCTGAATAGCAGAGTGAAAATGAAAGTTAAATTCTTAGGGAAAGGGTGGGGAAGGAGAAAATCTGTGGACACACACATAGGGCCCCTAAGAAATACCAAACTTTTGTGCCTGGGTCAGAGCAGCCAGCAACTACATTTTAATCCTAGCTGAGCTCTGCTCCCTGAGGCTGTTCTCATGGCTCTCAGAGTAACCCATCCTTGGAGAATTAGGCTTCCCTAGGCTGTGTACTGTCACATTAACCACATCTTGCTCCTTCATGAACGAGGTGCCCTGAGGAGGGAATCAGGTCTGTCTTTTACCACAGTGAGAACCCACGCTGCAGGCTCACTTGAGGTAGTGGTACTGGCAGCTCTCTCCTGTCCTGTATCCACCAGCTGAAGGAAGTGAGGGTGCCCATTTGTGGCCTGTTTGGTCATGTGAGAGGTAATGGATGCTCAGATCTGAATTTACTCAGGTGGTCAGTCAGAGGGGCTCTCCCAGGTGGTAGCATGGTGATGCTGACTTTCAGAACCTGGATTCAATATGACAAAGTAACACTTCTTCCTAAGTGGACTGCAGAGATCAAATTACATGAACTGTCTTTTGGGGGGCAACACCATCAAACACTCTACAACAAATAATCTCTATAGTTCCAGCATAATCAAAAGGAAAAAGAAAAGTAATTGTGATGAATAATTTTATGAGTCAGTGTGACTGGCCACAGGGTCCCCAGATTAAACACTATTTCTGGGTGTGACTGTGCAGGTGTTGTTTCCAGATAAGATCAGGTTTTGGATCTGTGGTCTCAGTAAAATGGATTGAGGGCCTGGGCAGAGGGCCTGTTGTATTTGGTACACAAGGACTTCACAGCAGCTGTTATATCTGGTTTGAACACTGTAGAAGCTCAGAGGTGAGAGAGAAGGAAAAACCCTAGACATGGTATTTGCATCATGAGAAAACCCACACTTGATGCCCAATAAGCTTCATTTGGAATCCAGAGTCTGTTTTTATGATATTTTCTGAGAAGAAGCAATGTATATTAAAGCTATGTACAAGCTTCACACTCTGTAAGGAGTAGGCTTCTGTTGGGGTCATGGATGCTGGATTTGGTTTTTTTAAAGATATCTTAGTGTGAAGAATTTTTCCTTTGTGTTTGATAACTCAGGTATTTTTCTGTAAGTTGTTTCACATTTTGAACTGCAAGCCTGGACATTCTAGGGAACATAAACCCACGAATATCCTTAGAGAGATACTTGTTGTATAACTCCAGAGTACAGGTTTTTCTTCATGAGTTATAGCTTCAATCATTGTGGCAATAGGGTGACAGAAAAGCAGAGGTGGAAGGGACTATATATAAGGATCAGTTTCCTTCTGTGTCTAGGAGAGAGGAGTGTGTGTGTGTGTGTGTGTGTGTGTGTGTGTGTGTGTTGAAAGTAGCTATCTTGGAATCCCTCTCCTATGACAGGTCTTCCACAAATGGAGAACTGAAGAATTTCCTGTGAAACAGGGACCAGAACAGACACTGGCCAAGTAGCCCATTTTATGAATTTCTCTTGGCCAATAAGTAGGTTGGGAAGATTGGAAAATGAAAATGTCGAGAACATGGTGACAACACCCCGTGCTGCAGGAACTATTACTCCTGTGCTTTTCTCACTCCTGAGGAAAACAGCAGCCTTTCAGCTCCCTGGGAAGAGTGAAGCTGACCAGGAAAGGGAGACATTGACCTACATATGCCAATGCTGAGGGAGGCCATGGAGAGCTCCGGACCCTACCTCTACCACAAAGAGAATTACTATGGGATTAGAAAACAATGTCAGATCACCTTATATTTAGTATATTCACTTAGATTAAGAAAAACACTATTTCAGTAATTCAAATAAAAAAGTAGCTAGCTACAACAAAAGATAAAACTTTATTTTAAAATAAAAAAGAATCACTAAATGCACAATATAGTATAGTTAACTATAGGCAGGATGTTATATAGAAGATTTGTAGAACTTATTCATCTTGCATTACTGAAACTTTAAATTTGTTGAACTGCAACACCTTAAAAATTTAAGCAGTTAGATCCCGTAGTGTTTTTGGCATAATAAAAATAAAACAATGTGATTGATAGACTGTTAACTTGCAAATTCAAAGAGAATGTTTATTATTTTTAAATATTGTCTTTATTTATTTATTTACTTTTAGAAAGAGTAGAAGGGAAGGATAAAGAGAGGGAGACAAACATCAGTGTGCAAGAGATGCACGAATCAGGTCCCTCTCACTCACCCCCAACTGGACACCTGACTCGCAACCCAGGCATATGCCCTACCTGGGAATTTAACCACCAACCTCTAGGTTCACAGGCCAGTGCCCAGCCCGCTGAGCCACACCAGCCAGGGCCAAAAGAAATGTTTAAAAAATAAGTTACAACCTAGAATTGTATACCAGAAAGCTATCTACAAGACAACATACATTTGAACATTCCAATAACAGAAATATTTGTTATGAGAAAAGATAAATAAAAATGATGTGGTTCCTTAATAGTTATTCTTTTTCAAAGCATAACAAAGGTGTTAATATCCAAAGTAAATTAATATACATTCTTAACATTCACTATTTGAAATCAGAGAAATTTAGTCAACAATAATCTGGACCACTGCTTATGTGCTAAGAAATGAGAAAGTTAGTGCAAACATTCTATTTTTCAATTCCCACAATATTCTTATGTTATTAGAATTTTTAACTTCTTTTCTAACTCAAGAATGAATAAACATTCTAAAGAATAAAGACAGCAAAGAAGAGATGGTGTGGATGCAGCAGTGAGCTCAGGGGCAGGAACTGAGCCCCAGGACGAGGAGGCTCAGGAGCCTGGCGGACACAGGGTCATGGGAACTGGACAGTTCCAAGGATTGACATATGGATAAGCAGTCTGAGAAAAGTGACATTTAGAGAACTTGTAGATGAGTGACCCTTGGTTTGTGACATTAAAAAATGAGACAGTGCCTGCTTCGTAGTCTAGGAAAACCCCAACTCGATGGGGAGGAACAGCCATGGAAAGAGTCAAGACCTTGGGATCTGAGGTGGGAGAGTCCTCAAAGGCACTGTACTCAGATTCGTTCTGTAAGCCTATAACCCAGTAGCCATTTTCAGGTTTGTATCTGGAATAAGCATTTTGATACTTTGTGCCTCGTCTAACACCAAACTTTATGCTACTAGAACGTATTCTACAATATATCCCCAAGATCCAGGCAGTCTTCTTGGACACATCTATTTCCCAGTAGTGTTTCCCTGATGAGAAATATTGGGAGCCTAAGACACCATAATTACAATACTTTATAGGCCAAATTGGCACAGATGTCAACTGTCTGTGATCCTCTGAAAGGACAAGATTCAGATTGAGGTTGAATGGATTCAATGTAATATCCACTGTAGAAAAAAAAAAGAAAAAAGATATGATTAGGTGACAGCTATGGGTTGGTTTATCTGGTGACATGAAGAGGGACTTTAAAAGTGACCAGAAAGGACTTGCATTGATGGATTGGGGAAGTGGGGTAAAACATTGGAGAAACATATTAAATTTAGGAGGTGAGAGAAACACATGGGGTTGAGATCATCAAATCTTACTGAAACAACAAACTTCTGAAAGGAGGTGAGAACAAAGTGATTTGGAGACCCAGTAACTTCTTACCCCAGTAGCACTGGACATGTGTTAGCTCTGAAATGATAAAAGATTTAATGATATTGATTAGAAGGGAAGATTAAATACCGATACCTATTTCTCCTCTAGAGTAGGGGCGGGGGAGAAGACTACCATGAGGCTATGAACTGATGAATGAGAGGATGGATCAGAACCTAGTCATTCTCCCTTAACCATATCTTTGTCAGCAATATCCCTTCTTCTCTGAACATCCACCTTTCTATTCTCCATTGGAACTGTAGCATCTCTAGCTTAGTCCCACAGCCACACTCCTGCCACTCTCCTCACCTTTAAACACTTGAAGCATTCTACTCAGATCTGGAGCACGGAATCCACACTGCAGTTTTTTGGAAATAGTTTTTGGTTTCTTCAATGTCCACACCTCACTCCTAGGGGTGACAAAAAATATTGACCCCAGGTCTCTTACTTTGTGTCCCCCTAATACCACTTTCTTCTTCTTCCATACCATTAACACACTTGACCCTTCTTCCCTGAGAAGCCTGATGAGGGGAGAAAGGAGTGCCCTGCTACTGGAACCAGAAAAAGGATCTTCCTTCCCAGTTACCCTCTGTGTGACCTTGGGCAGGTCTGCACCTCAAATAAAGTTTTGTCTTCTAAAAATAGAATAATTATCTCTTCCCTTGATACCATGTGGATGTGCAGGGTTTTTCACATCACAGTGAGTCTCCCCAAAACAGTCCACAGGTGTGGGCTTTCAGGCAGATCAGTGGTGAGAGTGTAGATCCTGGTTTTGATACGGTCTCTTTTTGAGCCTATGCCTATGCCCTAGTCCAAACCCTGAACTCCAGTGGTGTGGCCCACAAATAACATTTGAGACTTCAGGTGTTCTGGGAAAAGTTAAAAACTATTGGCAAAGAGGAAGTTGTTTATTGAATGAAAAACGGTTAGAATTTTATGTGTGTGTAAGGAATTTGAAGCTGCTAGGTAGACTGGCAATTTTAGACACAAAGGCTAAACTTTCCTATAAAAGCTTCTAAAGTATGTGAGCAGGAGAGTTTAATTATTGGCACAAGGATCAAAGCCACAAACCACAAGGCTCAGGTCTTTTTTTGGAAATCTGAAGAGAGCCTTGTAGAATGGACTGGTCTCCTCTATTCCTATTTAAGCAAAATAAGTATAAAGGTGCTGCCCCATAACTTATTTTAGAGCTTCATGAGGCCCTGCATATGGTAAACAATAGTATCTATGGGATACGGGAACCAGAAAAAGGAGAGAGAGTGAATTAAGTGGGTGAAATGATAAGACTCTGATTGTGAAGTCTCTTCTCCCTATTATCTTCACTGGCTCTAACTCTGTGAATTTCAACCATTGAATTCACTACCACAGAATCTGGTTCATTCTCAACAGATATGGATTCTTAAATTCTCATCTATGAGCAGCAATTTGAAATAATAATACATCTAAGTTTTCTTGCTTTGAGAGATTTTTCATTCTTGTTGATGACCAAATAACTCTCATGACTACAAACCTTTCTTCATAACACAAATGCACCACTCCCGGTCACCCATACGCACCATTTCATGATTCCACTCATGTCCTAGGAAGAAGAAAGAAAACATGAGTCAAGGAGTATACATATTAAAGGAGGATTAGTGAAAGTAATGGTAGAAAAACAAAAAGTTATTTGAAAATATCAACAAAATTGACAAAGCTTTAGCTAGACATTCCAAGAAAAAAAAAAAAGAGAATGGAGGTACATTACTAAATTAAGAAGTGAAAGAGGAGCTATTACTATTGACTTTGTAGATATTTAAGATTATAAAGGCTAGGGATTATTGCATGCCAATAAATTAAATAACTTAGATTAAATGGACAAGTTTCTAGAAACATAGAAACTACCAATATTGATTCAAGAAGAAATATAAGATATAAATAGACCTAAAACATAAAGAAATTGGATTAAAGATCAAAATTGTTCTGCAAAGAAAAGTCCAGCCCCAGATGGCTTTTCTGGGGAGTCTACTAAAAGTTTAAAGATGAAATAATACAAATAATTCATAAATTGTTCTCCCCAAAATTAAGGGCACATTTGCCAACTTATTCTATACACTAGGACTATTCTGATGCTAAAACCAGACAAAGATATTACACACACAAAAAGTCAACTATAGGCCAATAGCCTTTATGAATATAAACACAAACTTTTTCAATGATGTAGCACAAGGTTGAATCCAGCAAAATATAAAAAATTATATAACATGTCAAATTTGTCTTATCCCAGAAATGCAAGGTTGGTTTAACATAGGAAAAGCAATCAATATAGAACACCATCTTAATAGAATTAAGCATAAAAACGACATGATGATTTAAAAGACAGAAAAAATTGGATAAAATCTAATTCTTTTTGGATATATAATCCAACTATTTTATAATAAAATCATACAGTAATAATAACAAGAAAATAAGAATAGAAGAAGGCTTCCTCAGCCTGACAAGGCATCTTAGAGAAACCCACACATCATATGGAATTGTGAAAAACTGAATACAAGACAAGGATGTCTGCATCACTACTTACATCTACATGGTAAGAAAAAGAAATTTAGGCAAGAAGAAGAAATTTTGAAAAAGCATCTGTATTGGAAAATAAGTAAAACTATCTTTATTTGCAGAATACATCATGTTATATACAGAAAACTTCTTCTACTTTTCAAAACTTGGCTCATAGCAGGTGCTATTAATTCCAAACTTTAAAAATCTAATCATTGGCTATTTTGTCTAGTCATGTATCCAGGATAATACATTCCACAACAAATAAGAAACATAGCAGCAATCCAGAATATCTAAAATATAACCTGTATTATATTTTATATAACATATAAATATATGTTATATTTATATTATATAAATATAATATTCAACACATTATATAAATGTATATTTAACATATTATATAACATATAATGTGTTTGAAAATATGTGTCAATATATAATATAATAATTATTATACTTATATAAATATAACCTGTATATATTAAATATATAACCTGTATTTGGTTCATACTATTATACAGTATGGACCGAACCATACTCTTTTCTTTCTTATGCCCACTTGTCAAAAATGGTGATAACATATATTTAGTCCCTGTCTCAAACCAGTCCTGTATCCTTAACTTCTTTTGGTGGCCTGCATTTCCATATCATCACTGTACAGATTGTTTGTTTTGAACAATATGTTTCAATATATTTGGGCTTACTCTTAAATACTTCTGGCTGGGTTTACAACTAAAGGAATATTTTGCTCTCTGTATTAGCATAATTGGTTGTACAAGACAAAGAAATAAACTCAAATCACCTTAGCAAAAAAGAAGAGGAGGAGGATAAGGAGGAGAAGGAGGAGGAGGAGGTCAGAGAGATATCACTTTAGTCACAGGTGGATCTGGAAGCTCAAATTCTGGGCTTTTTGTGTTTCATAATTTTCTTTTCTTCACTAACTATTGAGTTTCTTATTTGACCTTCCACATGGCCAAAGGGACCTGTCTGTTAAGGCTAGCATCAGAATTAGACTCCAAAGACACAGAGGAGAAGGCAATTTAGACTGTATTTGGGAATCTCAAATGGGGCCACCCGTTTTACCTGCAGCAGCTTTGTTGCTGACCATCTACTGCGACGCTCCAGATCTGAGATGAGCTCTTTCAGCAACTGGCTCTGCTGAACCAGTTCATTCTCTGCCTCAGCCAAGTCATCCAGGGTCTTCATCTCCTCTTTCCCCAGTTTCTGCAGTTCTTTTTGCTCCTCGTTATCCAAGATGCTTCTAAGCTGACTAAATTCTGTCTGTATCCTTTGTCTCTCAGTCTGTATCTGATTCTGCAAGATTGAACAAGAGAGAGAAGTAACGATTCTATCAGTCAGAGAGCCTACTGTGAAAGGGATTAGGTGCCAGGAAAATACTTTTTATTTTTTCAGGGAGTTCTAACCAGGAGAGGAATAAAAACATGGGAACAATTTTTGGGAAAGCTGTTTTTTATTTTGTGGTATTTTCTCTTCTATACAAACCAAAAAGGCCTCACACTGTCATATCTAGGCCACTCCTGGAACAAATGTAAAACTCGAGTAAGGTTCAGGTTGTAGATGGCTGTCCTGGACATGGATGCCTTCCTGCATTACCACACTCTCACACTGGGGCCTTCAGGAAAATCTTTGCCCAGAGCGTTCTGTCCACTGGATGTGTTAGAGCCTTGTTGAAAAAGAGGAAAGGAAGACAGAATTCTTCACCCTTCCCTACCATAAAGTGTGTCTTTGCTCTCAGTTCCAAATATCTGTGTGTATTTGTAACATCTGTATTGTAATACGTTTACTTGTAACATTTAGTCTCCTGTCCCCACCCCAACAGAGACAGGACAAGGAAGAGAACTAATTAAATGGCTTCTGGATTCATCCAATGTTAGGGAGTGAAGAGAAAAGGACTGCCTTGTGATTGATGTGGAAGGTCCTGCCAAGATTCCTGTCTCAGAAATTCCCCAGGAACAGTCTCCTCATACCTTCCAGGAAGTCCTCTCTTCTCTGATGTCAGCACCCAACTTCTCAGCTTCCTGCTGCTCCTTCCTCAGTCTGTCCAAAGATTTCTGGAGCTTCTCCTGTGAGAGAGGAATCACAACACAGTCAAGCCGTGGGTTTTCTCAGTACTTCAGGAGAGAATAAATGAGGAATAAACAAGGCTGACCTCAGAAGAGACTGGATCACAGAAACTGTGATTAGAATCTATGACATGGGAGGAAATCTGAGGAGGTAAATGTTTTCTTTACTCCTGGGTGATGAAAATCACTATTCCCTCACCAAGTGTAGCCTGATTTTCTTTCTTCTTAGAGTAAGTATTGATCCTGCTACAGACAAGGAAAGTCCTAGCCTCTTGTTAAAACTTTTTCCACATCCAGCCCACAATGTTTAACAGCAATCATTCTGCTGAGAGGAGAAATGAGAGCTCAACTTGTAAGAGAAATTCTCCATCCATGCAACAAAAAAGAAAATAGGAAAATTTTTCAGTCTTGGTCAGAGTCTTTACTCTAGGCTCATCCTTCATGTAAATGGAAGGAATACACAGAAATGTCCTTCAGGCATGGGGTGGTGAGAACAGGGTAAGAGACATACATGGGAGGAGATAATAGGACTCAGTATTGTATATCATGCTCTGGTGAGTAAAGCAGGATGAAAAGATTTCTCCACCATGTACTATCTTCCTCCCACCCCCTCCATCATGGGCCTTACCTGACATTCCTTGACGACCTTCTCCATTAGGAATATCTGATGACCACGGTGCTCCCGAGAACATTCACAAAGCGAACAAATAACCTTCCCATCCTCCTTACAAAAGAATTGGAGTTTCTTTCCATGGTGCACACAGACATCTCTCTTCTGCCCCTCCTCAGGGCTTAATTTAACCTCTTTGAGCTTCTCCACTATGTTGGCCAGATGCTGATTAAGCCATAAGTTTCCAGGTGAATATCGGATACCACACACAGGACAGCTGCTTTCTCCTTCTGGGCTGATCTCCGACTCTTTATTATTAGTGATGCAAGTTTTGCAGAAGCTGTGGCCACAGTTTAGACTTAGAGGTTCTGTCAAAACCTCAAGGCAAATGGGACAAGTCACCTTTTCTTTCATGTTCACCAGGAATTTTAAAGCCATGGTAGCTGCTCCCCTGGTTTCTTCCTTAGGCTTTTCTTGCTTAAAGATTCCTAGATGAATGGGCAGATTGGAAGGAGATGGTGTAAGAAGGGCACAAATAAAAAGGATGCTAATCATGTTGACATTAAGAATTGGCCAAGACTGAAATATTGATGGATAAAAAAGAAGAGAAAAAAAAAAAAATCCAGAAGTGGAATTCAGTGATTTGGTCGGCCATTAATGCTTCAGAGCTTTCATTTCTCTTTCAGCCTGGAATGATTCTGCTGTTGATATTTGTATGACTTCCTCTTACACTTCACTGAACTCCCTTCTTACATGTCACCTCAGCAGACAGGCCTAATATGACAAACTTTTCCATAGCATAATCACTAAAACATTACTCGGAGTGTCATTTGCTATTTTTTTCTTATTACCACTGTATAATACATGATATCCTTTCTTAAATGCCCTACTCTTAAAATGTAACCCACACATAGATCAGGCACTTTGTTTTTTGTTCACTGCTTAGCAGCAAAAACACAGGAACACAATGCTCGATAAATATGTAAAGAACCTCATTTCTTCATAGGTAATTCGACTTTTTTTTTCATTCATTAGCTGTTCACCAATAAGTGAGCTTTGGGATCATAGAAGTGAATTCCACTGAAGAAGCATTTACCTCCTAATATAATTGCCCCACACAGAGCCTTCTCATACTTACTTCCCAGCGATGCCAACAGAAATAGCAAGGACCACTATAGGGAGGTAATTTTATCCTTAACAATTGTTAACCAGTTGCAATTATATATCACTATGGCCTATTTATTCCTTATGTAAACATCCTTGAAAAATAAGAACACTCCCTTTATTCAGTTGTGTATGCTTGAATCAAGTGACTTACAAAGATTATTCAATTCGGTAAGTTGAATTAGGGTGAATATAATGTCCTCAGGGTCCTCTTTCAGAAGTCTGGTAGGTATGATAAACACTACCACACAGAGGATATATTTTGGGAAAATTAAATAGAAGAACATCAAAGATAACCCCTTTGAATAAGTAAGGATTGAACTAAAAGCTATAAGATGAGGAGGGAATATGGAATGAGAAGAGGAAAATATTTTAGGGAGAAGGAATCACATTTGAGAATGTCCTTTTGATGGAGGACACAGCATCTTCTACAAATTTTGGAATGCAAGTATGGCTGGTGTGCAGAGAGCTCCTAGGTCTTTTGCACTGTTGTAGCCTAAAAGGGCTTGAAATGTTTCACATCCTAAATGATATAAAAACCACAGTGTCTTGTCATGAGGGACATAAAGTACTATCCTTCCTGTATCTCTGTATGGACCCTCATTAGAGCTCAGCTGAGGCAGTCATGACAACATGCTGTGTCTCCTATCTTACATGCCTTTGTTAAGCTAAGTAAACCTGGCTGGTTTATGTCCTGTTGTCACATAAGTGGGAATGGCAAATCAAACCTGAAACTATTGCTAGTGGTCTGTCAGAAGACACCACAGAGTGGTTGCATGGTGAGGCTGACTCTTAGAACCTGGGCAAAATATAAACAAGGAACTGGGTGGAGGGGGAGAAGACCTCAGTGGCTATGACTATCTTGATACGTCTTCCAGTGGACTGAAGTTGTGTCCCTCACACAAATATGTTTACCTGTGTGAATGTAGCCTTATTTTGCAATAAGGTATTTGCAGATGTAATCAAATTAAGATGAGGTAATACTGGAAGAGGGTAGGTGGATAACCAGATCCAATAACCAGTGTCATTATAAGAAGAGGAAAAGGTACACAGACACTTAGAAGAAGGCCATGTGACAATGGCAGCAGAGATTGGAGTAATACAGCAACAAAGCAAGGAATGCCCAAGATGGCTGGAAACCACCAGAAACTGAGAGACATGGAACAGATTCCCCCTTAGAGTCTCCTGGAGAAACCAACTCTACCACTACTTTGACTTTGGACTTCTGGTCTCCTCAACTGTGAAAGAATAAATTCCTGTTCTTTTAGGTCATCTAATTCATGGTAATTTGTTACATCAGCCTTAAGTTATTAATATAGTTGAAAAGATTGTACAGTAAAAGATCTGAGGAATATAACAAACTATAAATATTCCCCTTGCTCTAAAAAGAAAGGATGGGGGTGTAATGAGTGCTATGTGGAGTTATACTTAGGCCTAGAAGTCTACCCATTTCTCCAGTGATCCATGAAGTGACCCTAATAAGGAATAAGAGTACCATGAATGTGGGTTAGTAGGCAATTCAATAGCACAGCCACTAAAATTTGTCTAAAACCTCTAGCTGCAGTGACAATTGATTACATCAGGCTCTAATGACTAGCTAAATCAGAGGTCTACACAAAATGATGATTTCTACCCCTTCTTAAAAGTGAAGCTCTAAGCCAACCATGATTATGCAGCTCTGTTACCTTTCTCTGTATTTACTACCCAATCAATATTGAAAAATATCAAGAATCTATAAAGGAGAGAGGAATGGAACATGCTTTCTCCCATGTAGTGGTGGACCTCAGATTAGAGTGGGGCTACAACGAGTTGGTGTCAAAGCAGCTGCCTCCATAATGACCACAGAAAGAGAAAGGTACAAAGAAGGCAGAGCCCCACACAGGACCAGCAACTCTACCAATGTCCAAAAGAGACCCAAGAGCTAAGCAGCAGTCAGGGAGATAGAGAAAAGAACACAAGTAACATCTGCCTTATAGAACTGTCAGGTCAGCTGGCTTCCCTACCTTTCAGAGAACTATGTCCAACAACTGAGTCTTCTCCTAACATCTGGACTCATGATAATGCAAACTCTATGCCTCTCTGAAGGTTTTATAATATAATGAAAGTGTCTCTTGGAAGTAAAGTGCAGGAAGGACATCCATTGAAGTTTTCAGACATCTTAGATACTTTCCTTGGTTTCCTGGGTCAGAAACTGCCAGTGGGTAAAACAGGACATGTTTCTGGCATCCAGAGACCTGGGGACCTCGGAAACACTGCAACTCTCCCTGTCCGTTCTTCTAGGCTCAGAGTCCATACTTCAGCCACCCCTTAGAGGCCAAGGCTAAATCTGCCTCACATTAATGACCCTCTCCCCAAATGTTCTAGCGAGGGTTTTAGTAGATCACTACAGATCTCTCACCCTCATTTAACATTTTAAAAACATTACCTCATCTAAGAAGACAAGCAACCCAATTAAAAAGTGGGCAAAGGACTTGAACAGACACTTCTCCAAGGAGGACATACAGAAGATCCAGAGACACATGAAAAGATGCTCAGTATAGCTAGCTATCAGAGAGATGCAAATTAAAACCACAATGAGATACCACTTTACACCAGTCAGAATGACCATTATAAACAAAGCAACAAACCATAAGTGTTGGAGAGGTTGTGGAGAAAAGGGGACCCTAGTTCACTGTTGGTGGGATTGCAGACTGGTACAACCACTATGGAAATCATTGTGGAATTTTCTCAGAAAACTAAAAATGGACCTGCTTTTTGACCCAACAATTCCACTCATAGGATTATATCCTAAGAATCCTAAAACACCAATCCAAAAGAACGTATGCACCCTAATGTTCATAGCAGCACAATTTACAATTGCCAAGAGTTGGAAGCAACCTAGGTGCCCATAAGTAAATGAATGGATCCAAAAACTATGGTACATATACACAATGAAATTCTATGCAGCAGAAAGAAAGGAGCTCCTACCCTTTGCGACAGAATGGATAGAACTGGAGAACATTATGCTAAGTGAAATAAGCCAGGCAGTGAGGGACAAATACCATATGATCTCACCTTTAACAGGAAGCTAAACAACAAAACAAACAAGCAAGCAAAATATAACCAAAGACACTGAAATAGAGAACAGGGGGACAGTGAGAGAACAGGGGGAGAGTGACCAGAGAGGAGAGGGGAGGGGATTTCAGGCGAAAGGGGTAGGGTTTATAGTAACAAATATAAAGGACGCGTGGACAACAACTAAAGGGGGTGGAAATGGGAAGGAGGTGGGGAGCACTTGGGGGGTGGGTTGGGATGGGAGTAAAAGACAGAAACTTGAACAACAATTAAATTAAACAAATAAAAATAAAATAAAAAGATTACCTCATAATCTTAGTCACCTTCTTGTATACTGTATCAATTATTTATTGTTTGCTATGATCTCCCTTTAACTAGAATGTGAGCTCTTTTACGTATTTGATTTGTCTTGTATGTGAATGGATAGTCATTGTATTTTTTCATAGCAATGGCCTGCTTTAGTTCATATGAAATAAAATTTTAAAATAAATAAATATAGCTGTTCATGCTCTGTGTGGGGTCTTGTTCTTGACCCAGGGGAGACAATCAGTATCTGGGCAGAAATTGTAGGCATGGACTTCCAGGAAGGTAGTAACAGCAATTCCTGAAAAGTGGGATTATAGGACAGAATGGGCATGTTTTGGAAAATATGTGACATATCAATGGTATGCAAGTTGCTCACAAATGAGCTTAGGAAGGGACATGATTAGTGTCAGAGCAAACTTCTTAGCAAGACTGTGGAATCCTGGGGCTCCTTCTGAGAGATAATCAACCCCTATTAACTAGCTTAGAACAAAGAAAAATGCTAAGCAGTAGGGATAGCAATCAATGCAAAGGTGTGTCCAACACCTCTAAGGCAGGTGAGGACACTGGTGTCAGTGGGCCACTGAAGTAAAAGCAAGCAGGCCTGTACAGAAAAGTACAAGTGGATTCCTGAGACTGAAGCTCAGGAGGACAGAGGATAAAGACAGCATCAGAAGTACGCAGGTGGCAGACGGGTCATTCAGCCCGCTGTCTTTAGGGCTCCCAGCTGCTGAGGCTATGTCAGGAAGGCCACAGACAGCTCCTGGAGGCTGCTAGGAGGGAGTCAAAGAATCAGCTTCAGTATATCCCTGGCCATGCCCTCAAGTCTCCATTCTATCTGAGCCTGGGCTTTCACACATTTGTAAAACAGGGACCTCTTTTACAAACAGGGAGTGGAGTCGGGCAGAAGAGACTTACTATTTACCTTCTTAACAGAGAGAGAGGTCAAGGCAGATATAGAAACAGAGATTCCAGTTCCTTTCAGCAAGACAGACAATCAAACTAGAGAGGAAGGGTATGAACTCAGCCTGGAAAAATAAGGGCCCCTGCAGGAAACAAACACGGCCGTCTGCCTCTTGAACTGCCTTCTCTCAAGGCTACCCTCTCCAGTGCTGCCATCTGTCTGCACTCACAGCAGGAAGCCTGCAAGCTTGCTTTTCTCCCCTTCAGAGCACATCTGGGCCACAAACTAAACTCAGCTAACTTCACCTAGTACCTTTCTCTGGGAGTTTCTCACCCTCTGCCCTCCATAAACTTCCCCACCCACCTTTAGGTCCCTGTGGAGATGTCTTGGCTTCTGGTTTAAGAGGTGAGGAAAAGACAGGCCTGGTTAGGATTCATTTTCCAAACAGGGGCTCAGTCAGCATGAAGTAGTTCCTCCTCAGGAGCTGGCTGAGAAGTGAAAGTGAAATTCGCCCAGCTGGCAGGAAAAAGAAAGGGGAAGGAACTCCTGGGCCAAATGGGCGGCAGTCCTTTAGAGCTGCTGCAGAGAGTAAAGCTTTAACGCAGTGCTTCTAAAAGGGTGGGGTGGGGAGGAAAGATTTGCCCCAGGGGGCGCTTGGCAAAGCCCGACAGTTTTGGTTGTCATAACTACCGGGAAGGCTGCTGCCATCTAGTGAGTAGAGGCTAAGAATACCGCTAACCATTCTGTAATGCACAGGACAGTTCCCACAACAAAGAATTATCCAATCCAACCATCTACCAACACATATGTTCAAAGTGGGAAAAAATGGTCACCTTCGGTAACTCGGAATACTCATAGGGCATTAAGAGTTCCTCTGGTGCATTCCCAGCAGCGGAGCTAAATCTTAGGGAGGCAGAAATGGCCTGGATGGAAGGATAAGCAAGTTTGGTGTGCTCAGCAATTTGCAAATGGTTCCATGGGATTGTACTCGGAGCTCCAGGTAAACAGAAAAGATACCACAAGAGGTGCACAAGGGTCCCATCACAGAGTCTCGTTTATGCATGCAGAAGGAGGACTGAAATTATCTGGCAGATGATAACAACCACTGCATAGATACCAGAGCAAGAGTAAAGTGGTAGCTTTTTTTTATTAAGTAAAGGGGTTTGTCTCCTTGCAGGTATCAAAACCCAATTAATCAATCTATTGCAAACAGCAGTTTGCAGCAAAGAGAGTAAAGGTTTATTTTTAAGGAAATGACACCAAACCCAGAGTCACAGGTGAGCTATTGCTCTGATAGTTGGCTCGCTGATGGCTTCTAGGGTGTGGGTTGTATAGGAGGAAATCATCAATCCTGGCAACTGAGGGCTTTGGGGTTATGGGCTCTACTGATTGGTCAGGGCCAAGGGACAGAGTTCTTGATTTTAGTATCAGGTCTTAATGTCAACTGTGGAGTCATTATGTCTGGCTTAATGAGGGTGTGGTCGGAGGGGTGGTTCTGCTTCTCTGGATGTGAAGCTGAAAAGCAACTGAGGTCTGTTTGGACAAAAACTGTAGTCAGTAGAATTGAGGCTTTGTTCCTAAGATTATTTAATGCTGATCAGAATCTCATTGTCCTGAGGGCTTAATGATTAGGGGAGTGGACATGCCTGGGAGAGTGATGTGGGTGAGTCAGGGTGCTGCGTGATGCCAATTTGAATCAAAAGGAAGAAGAAAAGGTCATATTAAAGGAATGAAATTTCTGCACGGTTACTTTCCCAGATACTTCTGGTTTCACTCCCAGTATTCCCTTTAGCACCACACTCTCCCAGAGCTGGGCTTAGCAGGGCTCTCTTCTCTCTGAGCCACTCCTTGCAGAAAGACCTCAGAAACTCTGGGTCTCCACAAGTATCAGTACACATAAGGCCCAATGGAATTCATTGCCATTATCTTTCATAAATAATTTTGTATATCTTTTAATTTTTATTTTATTATAAAGTTTTCTGGTTGTGATACAGGTGCAGCCAGGGGGGGCCCCAAAAAAAGATTTGGAATGGTGTCCAAAATTCAAAGTGTATAGGAATATTAGAGAGACATATAAGATGTCCTCACCACCACCCCCCCCCCACACATACACAGGGGAAAGAGACCAATAGAGCAGGGCCATTGAGAGCTGTTTTGCATAGCAATAGTTTTGCAGCTAACCTCTAGAATGGCCATTTAACATATCTATAACCTTTAACTGGTTTCATAGATATGTTAAATAGCTGTGACCATGCTCTGAGCCAGGAAGAAGGGAGTGGCTTCTACCCAGGGTGTACCTGGGGGCAGGTCCCCCAAGTTACAGCCCCTGCGTGAGAGCTTGGAATTGATTGGCTCCAGAACATGGGGTGATACCTGCCCAGACTAATGATGGCAGCCCAGTAAAGCTGGGAGGGTATGAGAGTCCTGGCAGGTGTAACTGATTGTAGGAGGAGTCAAAAATGGGGCCGCAAAGGAGGATGGGTGCAGAGATTTAAACCAAGACGCGACAGCCATTGGGGGAGCGAGCCACATGGTCTGAGCTGTTAAGATCCCCTCTTGCTGAGGTGACGGGAGTGAGCCACATGGTCTGAGCTGTTAAGATCCCCTCTTGCTGGGGTGAGGGGAGCAAGCCACATGGTCTCTGCTGTTAAGATCCTCTCTGGCCGAGGTGAAGAGGAGAGAGAACCATGCAGTTTTGGCCAGAGTGCAGACCCCTGCAGCCAGATGACAAGGAGAGCTACGTGATTTCAGCAGAGTAAGGGTCCCCTCTTGGCCAGGTAAAGAGGGAGCCATGTGGTTTTGGCAGGGTGTGGACCCCCTCTTTCCCAGGTGAAAGGGAAAACCACGCAGCTTTGCCAGAATGGAGATCCCTGCAGCCAGGTGAAGAAGAAAGCCACATGCTTTTGCTGAAGTGCAGACTCCTGCAGCTTTGGTAGAAGAGGCCCACGCGGCTTTGGGGTGCTCCCTTTGGCCGAGTGGCCTGGAAAGCAGGAGAGACTTTGACTGGAACTGGGTACAAAGAACTCTTGCCAGTGGACCATGAGAGGGTACCACAATGCTTTGGATTAACTCGAGATCCTACACGGTGACACAGCTGATGGTGCCAGCGGCCTGAAAAAGGGACGTGTGTTCCTTTCCTGATTTATGGTACACAGAGTTGGGACAGTGAGAGAAGGGAGTGCTGTGTGGGTGTAGGTGCACAACCTAAAGGACGTTAATATTTTAGTGGAGGCATTAGGCCTGAATAGCATTAAATAAACAGTTTGTTTCCTTTTCACAAATCTCTGGCATTGAGACATGTCTTTCCAATTGGCGGCAGACAGAAGAGCCCAGTACATTTTAGTATTTTGTCTTTGGGAGGGGCCCCTGTTGTATAGCAGTTTTCGGCATCCCTAGGTGGGCCGAATATTGTATTGCCCCTCCCTCGGACCTCTTGTTCGGTAACAGTTGTTTTTCAAATATTACATTTTACATTTTTTTCACAGAACTACTTTACATTCTAAAGCTTATGACCATAGAATCGTGCAATATTTTTTAATATTTTAATTATCTGTAATGAACTACTTTCCATTTAGTTTTGTTAGTTAGTACTACCCTTTGCCTTGTTTATTTGTGTAAAAAGATCACACTCCTTCCACTGAAATTTATTTTAGTATATTTTATACACTTTCATATTCTTTCAAAAACCAAGTCTCCCTGTACGAGGTAAAACAGCAATCTGGAAACAAGAAAGCTGGGATGCTCTCTCAAAACTGACACCTTTGGCCCAGGTTTATAAAAGACCACACAGGGCTGCAGTTGTCCACACCTGTGACACCAGCCAGTGGTAGTTTGAGACTGAATGACTCAGAAGGGAAGGGGATGCTGATAGGGTGGATAGCACAACACTGTGTAGACTTTCAGAGCTCAGGCTTCCTGGATGAAGCTCCAGCTGTCAGTAGGTGGGGGCGGGTGGGCCTTTTGCATGTTTTGCACATAGTGGTGCCAAGTGGTGCATTTACTGAGTGCAGAGGAAAGTCTGAGGCCTGACCTGTGTGAACACCTGAGCGCCATAAATGCCACCAGCAAAGCATCAACTGTTTACTTTAGCTTTCTCAGAACACATTCAACAACAAAATTGCACTTATATCCCACATTAAATATAAATATTCTAAAATTACATGAGTTTGTTAAAGATGACCAGTTGACATAATTGCATGTTTGGCATGAAGATAATTAACATTTACTTATCAACTATGAAGTGCCCCTCACCCTTCCCATGAGTTGAAGGTAATATGAGCTTTGTTATAATGTCTCCATTATTCTTAAGAAAATGTAAAATGTTTAGGATATAGGACTGTACCTGTAGGGTCTGTCAACTGAGAAATAATATTGACTAGGTGTTTCATCACCAAAAAGTATTTACTCAGAAAAACCAGTGCATGTAGACATGGCCAGCCATGTGCACACATGGCTTACACGCCGAGATGCAGGGGTATTTATAGAAGGGAAAAAGAAAAGAAGGAAAAGCTGGAACCATAGAGCTTTATTATAAACAGAGCTCTTCCTATAGGGCTCTCTGGATTACAGAGTGCAAGAACTTCTCCCAAAAGCCCTAGCTTCTCCACAGACCCTCCCTCACCAGCTCCCCTTGACTGATTCTGTTCCTTTCAAAGTTTCAGTCCTTATCTGATCTCAGCCACCCAAGCTCCTCTGAGGAGAAAAACAACTCTCTACTTCCCACTCTAGGGAGAGTAGATGCGAATCATCTGTATTGGGAAGGTGCCTGCAGCTTGAGAGAGGCACTGTGGAGGAGGAAGTGTTGAGGGTGCTGAGATTTTTAAAAAGAAAAAGGAAAAACAGGTGTGAAGCTGATGTCAGGGTCAAGAGATTGCCCAGCATTGATCATCCTCAGGCAAATGGAAGATCTCTATAATCTCGTACAAATGAGTAGATTCTACTTTTATCCTAATGAGGATCTCAGGTTCCCAAGGCCGAGAAACTTCTGGTTACCATCCGGTGATGGCTCTGGGTACTCTTGCCTGCTCATTGTCCACAAAAAATCCTGCAGATTAAAGCTCCTTATGCAGAGATTGTCCTGAGCCCACCCAAACCTTCTACTGTGGACTCCGCATCTGTAAATATAACTCAGCAAGTCCTAAGGCCCCAGAAACAAAACATGGTGTGATTGCCACATATACTTTCAAAGACGATGGGAAGGGAAAGCCCTAGAACTGACTCCTGGTACTTGGTACTCTCTGGATTTTTTGTTTTGAATTCAGATACCTTCTCTGGCTTTTAAAAATTGGATTCAACCCATAGGTTTCAAAGTCTTGTCAGCACAGGGCACCATCTCTGGGGCCAGGAGGCTCTGTCTAAGAGATGCCTAAGAATGCATGTATTCTTGTTTGGGTTTGCAATTTCATTCATCTGGCTAGAGTTTTATTCATTTAATTGATCCTGTTAAAGAATCTGATTTTGGTTTGATTTCCTCAAATATTTTGGTTTCCTATTTTGCTATCTGCTTTTTGTTATTTTCTTTCTCTGCTTACTTTGTATTTCACCTGTTTTTTCATCTCCTGTTTTTTTTTTATATGGTGGAAGGTAAGGTCATTGATTTGAGGTCTTTT